GCAGGCAGGCTCACCCAGAGAGGAGGGATCTGGCACAGCAGTTCTGTGAGTGGGGACATGGGGAGGAAGGGAAGGAGGTAGGAGGAAGGTGAGGCAGGAGAGCCAGGAGCAGGGTAGTGCTTCAGGGTTCCACATTCAATATGGCCACAGGCCCTGGACTCAGCCCCATGAAGGAAAATGGCTGTTCCCCTCAAAACGGAGCAGCCTCAGTCTCGCCCTGTGCTGTTCCCTGTTCTTCTCTTCCCCTCTGCCAATCTTTAAGGGCTACTTGAAGAGTACAGCTCAGTCCAGGCCCACGACCTGGACCTAGGTAGTTCCCAAGCATAACCCTAAAGGCTCTGAGGGCTCACTCCTACTATGGAGAGATAAGAGAAGGCATCGCTGTCACCTGCTGAGGCAGGCCTCCCCTGGCCACCCTATCTAAGGAAGTGTCACCTTGTTATTCTCTATGGCTATACAGCGTTCATTTCCTTCTTGGGGCTTATCACAGTGTGTAACTACTCATGTAGATGCATTCCTCTACCCACTTATTTGTTCTGTTTGTCTTTTCCACTAGAGTGGAAGTTCCCTGAGGTCAGATGTTGTACCTATGTGTTCACTGCCTCTGCACCCAGTGCCTAGCATATCACAAGGCTCAGCAAGGATCCAATGTATGGATGAATTGCTGAATGACTGGCTCAGAAAATGGGGCTCCCTGGTTGCCCATGTTGACCTTTAGGGTTGACATTCAATAGTTCCAGGATTTCCCCAAGGAAGCTGCAGCAGGATGTAACAGGAACAGCAAGGTGGGGAAAGCTAGGACCCCAGGGGAAAGACCAGCCCCAGGCAGAGGTGGCACCTGCACCAGCCCTATCTGGCCCACTCCATTACACAGTGTGTGTGCACACACACAAATGGGCCTGGCATGCACACACACAGAGTTGTGTATGAGCACTAAGTCCTGGACAATTATAAGAAGCTTTGAGTTTTATCTTGGTTCTTCCTCTTAATAGCCCTGGAACATTGGACAAATGACATGTCTTCTCAAAAGAAAAATGAAGAGTTTGGCCCAGATCTGTGGTTCTCAAACACAGCTCCACACCAGAATCACCTGAAGCACTTGTCAAAATCCAGATTCCCATACCCAACTCTCGTAGGTTCTGACTAATTTGGTCTGGAATGGGGCCTGAGGATTTTTATTTTTATTTATTTACTTTTAAATTAATTTTTTTTTTTTTTTGAGACAGACTCTTACTCCATTGCCCAGGCTAGAGTGCCATGGCATCATATAGCTCACAGCAACCTCAAACTTCTGGGCTCAAGCAATCTTCTTGCCTTAGCCTCCCAAGTAGATGGAACTACCGGTGCCAATGTTCTTGCTCTTGTTCAGGCTGGTATCAAACTCCTGAGCTCAAGGGATCCTCCTGCCTTAGCCTCCCAGAGTGCTAGGATTATAGGTGTGAGCCACGGCACCTGGCTAGATCTTTATTTTTAGACAGTTGACTCTGAAGCAAATGGTCCAGGAATTGGCATTTGAGGACCACAGATGAAATAGCATTTTATAAGTGAACATCTAGACTTCTATTAAAAAGCCACTCCTGCACATCCCCCCAAAACATGTCCATGTATTCCATATGTCCCACACTGGACCACAAGTGAACAGGTGATGCATCCTCCCCAGACACCCAATACAGAGCCACCCAATGGATCACAAACTGCCAAGGAACCACCACATCAACGTATACAGACTGAGGACACAAGCACTGCTTCCTACCACACACCCAGTGTGCAGCTCATACACATCACATGCTGACCCACACTAAACAGATACTACCCTGAATTTATTTTGCCTCTGGGAACTGGTCCAGGACAAAGGAGCTATGCTCTGCAGATGAAAACATCTCTCCGCCTCTGCCACCCCCACCCCTACCCTTGCTCGAGGCAGCATGCTGTCCACCTCCCCCCTTGTAAGGGGCTGGCTGCTGGAGAAGGACAGTAGAGAGATGGGCTGAGGGGAGGCAGAGGCTGAGGCCAGCAACCCAAGCCCAGCACCCCCCTCTCTTCCCCTTCCCACCAAGAGAAGACAAAGGGCCCCACCCAGCCCCCAAGTCAGTGTTCTCACTCAGGCCACTTGCCTATGTTCCCAGGCCCTGGTCCTCTGGAGCCAAAAGAGCTAAGGAGGTGGCTAGATCTGGGGACTCCTCCTAATACTCACTCAGTTCCCTAAGGAAAGGGCTGTCTGGGGGCACCTTCCTGTAGTCCTGAGGCCTGGGGCCCCCAGGGAAGGTTACCACAGAAACAGGGGGAAATATTACAAGGAAACACAATACCCGGCAGGGTCACCTGCTGACCAGGCTTCCTGCTGTGTTGCCCACCCCCCATCTCACTCCCTCAGAGCCTCCTCTAGCCTTAACCTGGGCCTCCTCACCAAGGCTCTCCTTCCTGCCTCCCCAGGGCTGGGGGAAGCAGCCATAAGTAGAAACTCTGACCCTCTGTGATTCCAAACAATATCAGGGATGGCCCAGAGCTGAACCCCCCAACTCCTAATCCCTACCAACACCCCCTACTCCACAGGAAATCAAAGCTTCCTGCCCCAGAGGAAGTGCCCCATCTAGGGAACAAATCCAACACACACAAATGCACAGTCCAGTCCTCGGGGAAGACAGATGCCCTCCCCCCAGCCCCAGGCCTTTCTTTGGCCCTGCTTCCAGTAATACCCCATGCCCCATTGGAGGCCCCAGACCCCAGTCTGGCCGGGAAGGGCCAGGGTGTGGGGGAAGGCTGGGAGAATGGGCACTGGCAGACTCAGGAAAGCCAGATTCAGACCCTGCACTGCCTGCCAGTCCCTGGCTGGGTGACCCCAGGCCTTGCGTTATTAGCTCATCTTCACTCAGGCCCCTGCCAACTTCAAAGTTACCAGCTCGTAATGAAAGGCCAGGAGGAAGAAGACAAGGAGGAGGTAGGGGTAACACAGGCTTCTGTTTTCCAAGTCCTTGGGCAAGCATGTCCACAGCCACAAGAGGGTCCCCACCCCCAGCACACTTGAGCTTCTCACTTGCCCAAGGGATTTATATCAGAATTGATATAAACTCTGATGCCCAGAAGCCACCAAGAACTAAATGTGAGGTTCACTATCCCAGAGGGAAGCAGGGAGGAAAATAGTCGCACCCGCACAGTACACTGATTGATTCATCTCTAGTCAACCTCTCCCACTCTGTGTGCTTGAAATTTTCTCCTCATTTTATTGATGGGGAAACTAAGCTTGAGTATCAAAATGGAGTGACCAGCTTATTATGCAACTTTCTGTCCTGGATCCTAGCTAAAGACTTGGTAGCCAGAGAGACATATACCCAATGGGCTTGAGCTAAAGGACACAGAGGCCTCAGGAAAATACTGCCCTGGGACCACTCAGGTGCAGCCGAACAGAAGGCAGCTCTGAGCTTGACTTTGAGCCTGGCCCCACCAGGCAGTGAGAAACATCAGACCAAATGCAGGGGACCAGTCCCAGTGGGTCCAGGTCCTGGGTCCAGTTTGGGTTCACTGGGTGAACAAACTGCTCTGTGCCTCAGTTTCCCAGAGAAGTGACTACAGAGAAGAAAATTACTGATAAGGTACGTAGAGGGAGCAGAGAGCAGGCAGTGAGAAGGAAAAACTAAGCAATGAGGAGCTGAAGGACCCTGGGAAAGGGATAAGAGGGTTGGTGTGAGGAGGGAAGAATGTTCAGCAGCAGCCTAAGTGGCCTATGGGGTCCTGTTGGGGAGAAATGGGCCACCAAAGTACCCATTAGAGGGGAGGGACCTGAGTCGGTCTCCTTTCTTTTAGCCCAAGGGCTAGACAAGGGTCTTAAGGAAGGTCCCCATGGCTCCAGGTGCAAGTCCAAGGAGACAGACTGGCTGGTGAGTCTAGATCTTGAGCTCGTAGCAGGGCTGCTAAGGGCTGGTGCCCCATTTTCACCCTAGAAACTGGCAGCTAGAGGTGGGCCTCAGGCAGATGTTGAATAAGGGTGTATGCAGGGAGAGTTAGCAGCAAAGACAGCACACGTCCCGACACAGGGGGAGCTTTCAGGTATGCAGGACAGCCAGCAGAGTCAAGGAATGGGGAGCAGCAAGGGCTGGGGAGTGAGACCCAAAGGGGAAGAAATTGGAGAGGGGGTTGGAGATGGGGGTCACGGGGTGGCCTGCAGGCCCCGGAGGGTTGTCTCCCAGCCCATAGGGCTAGAAATTTTGGTCGTGGGAACCCAGCTCGGCTGCCATGTTGGCCGCCTGCTCTCACACTCCCCAACACCAACAGACCCCAGGCCTAGGGGTGCACATCCTGTCCCCTCCCCTCAGTGCGCAGAGTCTGCGGCCCCCCCTTCCCCGCGCCCCTGCCGGCAATACCCTCCACAGCTCACTTGGGCACAGGTGTCTCTTCACCCTGTTGGGGAGCAAGGGTGGGTGGGCGATGCTCAGAGAAACCTCCCAGCTGGGGACCCCTCCAGGGGTGACTGCTTTCGCCCGCCCAGGGATCTGAGTAAGGCCTTGCCCGGCTCCACGGGATGGGGGCGCTGATGTCCAGCCCCACAAGCCCGGCCCCAACTCTGTGGGTCCTGCCCTTTGCCCTCGCACTTCCAAACCTTCCGCTCCGAGCACCGCCCCATCTCCGGCCCACTGCAGCCGTCCTCGCTCCGGGTACCCCGGCTCGTCCTCCCCAGCAGTGGGGGTGATGGAACATCGGGCCCGCGCCCCGGCAACCGGAGCCTCCAGCTGCCTCCCTCGGGCCTGTCGCTGCCCCAAGGCGGGCGGATGTGGACGCCCCACGGGAGGCCGGGGCCCTCCGGCCCCGGAACCAGCTCCGGCCGAGAGCCAGCCGGAGCCCCGCTGAGCCTGGCGGGGCGGGATGCGGTCGGGGGGTACGCGCCGGGCCCGGCCCGCGGGGCCGTTCGGAGCCCGAGCTGGAGCCCGCGCCGGAGCCCGAGCCTGTGCGGGCGGCGCTGGGTGCTGCGCGCAGGGCGGGGCGGGGGGCGTCCGCCCCGTACTCACCGGCGCTGGGGCTGTGCATCCAGGGGCCGGGGCCCTCAGAGCGGGGGGCTCATGGCGGGACGGGGGGCTGGGGCGCCGGCCTCACATCCCCCCAGTCGCCGGAGGCTGCAGAGCGACTGTGAGACGGCGAGAGGAAGGGAGGGGGCCGGGAGGGGGAGGGCCCTGGCAGCCCGGCCGGCCGGGTAGGATGACAATGGAAGGAAATGCTTTATCTGAGTCTGAGAGCGGGCCAAGGGGGAGGGGAGGGAGGGGGCAGGCGCTCGCGGCCCTGGGACACACCACCCCGGCAGACTGCACCGCGCGGCGCACAGGCGGGCCGCAGACACAGCGCGCGGCCGGGGCGCGACGGGGCGCGGCGCGCGGCCCGGGAGGCTGCGCCCAACCCGGAACGCCGGCCGCGGCCCCGCGCCCCCGCCGCCGCGCGGCGCTCCGACCCGCGCACAATTCCCGGAAACCCAGATACCTGAGCGCACGTAGTCTCGCACACACTACGTACAGGAGCATGCATCCATGTTTACACAGGGCCAGGATCCCTGACACAGACACACTGCGGCTTTGGGAACGACCCCGGTGCCCACACCTACGTACATCCCGCTAGCAGACAGCCACACATAGGGACAGCTGGACACGCATGGAGTCCTAGTTCCCATGCAAGGAATCCCAGACAGACACCCCCCCAACCACACACACATACACACAGGCACGCGCGCGCGCGCACAAACACACACGAGCACTACTTGCCTCAGAAAAGTTCCAGGATCTGATTTGAATCACTGCCCAGCCCTCCCCCACTGGCACACACACACCCCCCATGCCTGCTGAGGGGAACAGAAGGGTCCAGCCTGTTCCTATTAAAAGAAAAACGGGGTGGGGGTGGTGTGGATTTTGAAAGTTTTCTTTTTTTAAAGAAATTTCTCAAGGGATTTCCTTCCCTCCTCTCCTCTTCCTCTCTTCCTCCCATTCCTCTCCCTCCACAACCCCCCCTCCTTCCCCCCTCCCGGTCCCTATGAGTCAAACTTCAGCAATGTGCCCAGTGTCCCCCAGTGCATTACAGCGGATCACAGAAATGTTCCAGTCTGTGAGTCGGAATGCAGCCGCCTCCAGCCCTCCCTCAGCTAATAAACTCAGCCGGCTTAACGCAGAAGCCCTCTCTGCCTCCCCCCCCCACCCCCCTTTTAGCTGGAGAGAGGTCAGATGAAGGGGTCAGGGGCTGAGGACCTTGCCATTGTGCTTCCTGGCCTAGCCTATCGGCCGTGTCCGCCTCCAGCAATCTGCTGGGACAGAAGCACAGCTGCTCCTAGGAAGGGGAGAGGTCCACAACCTGGAAAACTGGGCTCTCCTGTAGTGTGAGACAGGCCATTAGAAGGCAAGTAGTAGCTTCCCTATGACCCCATCCTACCTTCTGCTATACTAGGAACTTCAAAAGTCTTCAGAAGGAGAAATTGAGGCAAACCCAGAGAGAGAGTCATGTCAGATAGGAAGCAGGAATTCACAGTTGCCTAGGAGTGCTTGGCCATGCTGGGTGTGAACTTCTGGCCTGAGACTTCTGGTTTCCTCGGGCATAGCTCAGGGCTGCTACCTGCTCCCGGTCATATCCTTGTACTTTCCCACTCCCTCGCCTTGGCTCATGATGTTCCCTCTAAAGTGAATGTCCACTCCAGTCCCTTTCTCCTCTTGAAATCTTTCCAATCCTCAAGGCCACAACATAAACCACCTTCTCCAGCAGGTTTCCCTGATTTCCATAGTGGGAGGGACTCTTCCCTTCCCTTAAAGGATCCCACGCCAGAACTGCATTGGTTTTTCTCTGTACATTGACCTTCACCCACCTAGTCTACTTGTTTCAACTCTCTTCTTTCTTCCCCAAGAGCATTGAGGATGGGATGTCCCCAAACACAACAACTGTCTTAGTCATGCATTCATATCTTGTAGTATCTTGCACAGAATTCAAATTTGTTGTGTGTTATTTGTTGAATTGGGATAGGTGTTCATGACCTTCAAGGACCATCCTCCAGCTAGACACCGCTAGTACTCTCCTTCACCCCATAACTACCTATGCTGATACAGCAAGACCCATGTTCTTCCCCTCAGGTATGTCACCCCAGCCTTCATTTCCAAATCAGGTCACCCTCATTCCATGCCCTCCTTGGACACAGCCTCCAGAATAACCCTTGGTTACTGCAGACCCCCAGCCTTTCCCCTAGCCCCCCAATGCCCCACATATATATGCTCTTCTAGCTCTCCTGTGGCTATTGCTGTGCTAAAGTCAGGCCCTTGTTTGCCTCTTTCTACCGTATGCATCATGCATGTATTTATGAGTCTTCTTTCTCTTTTTAACCTGATCACTGAGTTCTGAGTGATTTGAACAAAGGGTATCTCCCTGCCTGTCTATCCCTACAGTGCCTAGCATGTGGCTTTCTACACACACCAGCACTCACTGCCTCCAAAACATAGAAAGATAACATGCGTGACCTGCGTTGGGAAAGCTGGATGTGTCCCTTCTTCCCTTGCCTTCCCTTCCCATTCCTCCAGCCCCTGCCCCAAACAAAGTTCTAAGCCATTTTCTAAGTCACCTGTCCCTTGCCAGGATGCATTAGACAGCCTCCAAGAACCCTTAGAGACATGAGACAGAAAAATGCAGGCTACCTCCCTCTCCTCTAGCCTTGTTACCATGGGAAGCTTTTTTTTTTTTAAGGCTCTTGAGTCCAGGCTTCTCACAGCCTGCTCAGCTGAACACCTAACAGAGGAGACTGACCCCAGAGGAGCTGCTTTGGCTTTCTGAGTCTTCCCTGGAGTCTCCAGACAGCACAAAGCCTGAAGGCACCCCCTTCTGCTTCCCTTTGGGGCTGTGGGCCTACTTGACCTTCTCTCTCTCCTTCTCTCCTTTCTGTAGTTAGCTACTGTTTACCAACTGTTTACTGGGTAGCAGTCCTTGCTATCCCTTTACAAACATTAGATCATTTATTCTTAACAATAATCTTTGTTATGCTCGTGAGTAAAGTATGACCCATAAAAGTTAGCCCTGACCAAAGTTGCACAACTAGTAAGTGCCAGGGCCATTCATTCACTCAAGAAATATTATTTGGTACCCTACTTTTTGCCAGGATTTAAAGCTCCACACGCTTCTCTAGTCTAAACCTCAGAGCACTGAGATCCCTTCTGTTCCAACCTTCCAGATATGGGGCCACAGCCACAATTCATCCCTGTATCTGCACATATTGTTACATACTCCCCATGAAGTGAACCAAAAAGTATTCCTTCTCCAAGGCCTCAGTGAAATCTCAATAGACAGCCATGTCATTGGGTTGGGTTAAGGTTTGTCTTATGTTCCAGTTCCTGGGTCTGAGGTTAAATGCCAATTCATAGAGTTTTGGACGAATAGAAGAGTTTAGGTCTCCAACTTTAAATAAAGGGTTTCATGGAACCAGATATAAGAAGTGCAAGGAAGGAAGAAAGGAAGGAAGGAAGGATTTATTGAACAGCTCCTACATATCACATGCTGTTCAAGGCCCTTTGACTTACATCTCATTATTATCCGCATTGTTTTAGTGAGCAAATTAAAGCTCAGAAAGACAGAGCCAGTAAGTGACATAATCCCAAGTGAGTCTGACTGAGAGCCTGTGCAATTTCTCCTTGCAGGTCAAAAACAATGGAGAGGCTATTGCTGGTGTCTCCTGCTCCAGTGTAGCCTTGTTACTTGAGGTCCTAGCAGATCTGTGCAGGTGATTCCAAATGCCAGGTTTCCTGCCTCATTGACCCCGACCATGCAGCCTCTCATTGTTTCCCACCTTTCTCTGTTGCATTGCACAGACAGGATCAGAGGAGCTGTATAAGTGTTCTGGGTAGGGTTGGGGAGAGAGGGTTTTGGCTATAGGCAGGCAGATCCCCAGTTAGGATTTTAGAGTCTGAGACAAAAGGTACCACATCTTTCTGGGCCAGACTTGAGTGCGTAAATGAAGAAGCTACAGCATGGCTACAAGTCTTGACAGATCAGGTTGGGAGGGGATTGGACCAGGTGGAGAAAACTAAGCAAGTCTTTCCCCCATCCCCCCACCTCCCTACAGAGTCAGCAGGTGATGTGGTTTCCCCTGTGGTCTGTTGCCCTAGACACCTGCAGTTCTGAGTATATGTGTCTGTGTCTTTGTGCCAGCCCTGTGGTGGGGGGACACAAGGAGAAAGCACTGGGACAGGATAAGGAGGGGCAGGAAGCCAAAGACAGGGTCTCCTCAACCCCAAGACAAAGAAGGTGGAAAGATGGCAAAGGTCACCCACTTGACTACTCCAGGTCCCCAGCCAGCAGCATAGAGAGGGAGCTGGAAGAGAAGCATCTTGGATCTCAGGGCCTGGGGCTGGGAATCAGGGAATGTGAGTTCTAGGCCCAGTTCTGCCATTAACTTCCTGGGTAACACCTTTCTAAGTCTCAGTTTCTTGCTCTGTAAATAACAATATTTTGGATACCTTCCTCGGAGGGCTGGTCTGAGATCAGATGAATAACATATGCCAAAGTTGCTACTACCACTGTTGATTTTTAGAATTATTGTCCTCATAGCATAAACAATGCCCAATTGCTTACTCTAGCCCCTGAATATACAATACACGTGCATCCCCCCAGAACCCCAGAATGTGGAGATAAAGAACACTAAAGACGAAAATACAGCCCCTGCCCTCATATTGATCATGATGTGTTGATTAAACAAACACGTAAAATACTTGAAAGCCTTTTACAAAGCCAACTATTTCAACAATCTATCTGTGTGACCCTAGCCAAGTTACAAACTCTCTGGGCCTCAGTTTTCTCTTATTATCAAATGAGGGGGCTGGATGAGATAATCTCTACTTATTTTCCTGAGGCAAAAGCAGTTTTCTGATTCTGCTATTCTAAGTATAAATGAACATGTTGCTGAGAGGAAAGAGCTAAGCAGATCAGGGCAGAGCCCGGCCTGAACGGAGCTGGTGAGCGTTGAGCTGGGCTTTAAAGAGCCCAGAAATGTGAAGCGGTGTGGGGAGCAGGGTGGGGGTGACATTCCAGGTAGGGAGAGTGGCATGTGCAAGGGCGAGGCAGGCAGGCAGAGGGTGGCAAACAGATTAGCCAGGCTCAGGAATGAGGTTGGCAGGATGGGAGAGAGCCTGGGGAGGAAGTCAGGGAAGGAAGAGCAGAAGGAGCTGTCCCAGGGTTAAGAGCAAAGACGGGAAGGTGGGGGAGGAGCACGGGTGGGG